GTGCATTGGTGTAACTATAGTTACAGGTATTTTACCCAACTAATCGATAAAGATCCATTATTGTAGCACCAGTAGTTAAATTCAAAAACGTCTTCAGTAGAATTCAAACTCTGTACCTAAGCTAGAAATTACTTGGGAGTGCAAAAACCCAACTACTTCACTAAGTCGCCACACCCCTTTCAAAGAGATATTATATATGATTGTTTAAATAAACAAAAGAAAGAGTTACTGCAAAGAATAGAATTGTTGTAAAAGTATTATTTTAAAAAAATTATATAGTTGGTTTTGAAGATAGTAGTTATAAAGAAGTAAATTAGAGTAGTTGAGTATATAGAGTAAGATAATTTGTTTATTTTATTTTTTTTTAATTTTAAAAAATGAGACCTTGCTCATATCTTTATTGAGTAATTTATATAAGTAGATATATAGAAACTAAATAAAAACTTAATTTATATACAAATGAATAAATATAAACTATATATAAGAATAAGAGCTCAAACTAATTATTTATCTGTGATCTAAACCTACTATAGTGGTCAAGACTCACCTAGATTTGAATAGTTAAAATAAAGTTAGTGAGAATGCTATACTGGGCCCATATAGTAGCCCAGATATTAAATTTACAATTTGCAAGTCTAGCAGGTAGGCAAGAATTAGAATCAGAATGTAGTTAATTTGGTAAATTACAGGAGCAATTGTATGTAAATATATTGTAAGTTCTAGGATAGAGACAGGGGAGGGGGTTGTTGATAGGGTTGGGTAGAAACAAAGTTTGAAGATATTTGATATACTTTTTTTTAAGTAAAAAAGTTAATACAGTATGATTTCCAAATTTGATTGTAAAGTTGGTTAGAGATTTTGATAAAAACTTGGATAATAATTTGAGAGGCAATAGAGTATGAAATATCAAATGATAGTATGTATTAAATAAAAGGAGTAGGAATGAGATCTCTAAGAGTCGAGTAAAGAGAGTATGGATAAAGTAGTGAGGTGTGAAGAGAGAAAGAGAGATAAGAGAAGATTGTATGTATGAGGTAGTTTAGTTCATAGTGAGAAAGGCTAAGGTTAAAATTAGAAATGGTTTCAGAAATAGAGGAGTGAATAATCTGTGATAAAAGGTTATAGTTAGGGCAGGTATACCAATGAGTAAAGGATTCAGAAAAGTTGCATTGGAAACAATAGGAAGATGAAAATATGATGGGTGATATAGAGTAAAAGTATAAGTAAGTGGGGAGATTGTTAAGTAGCATCTTAATTTTAAAGGATTTGAGATAATTGAACTTGGGATTGGTAAAGCTATATAATTTCTTTTGATTATTATTGAAATAAAGCTAGATAAAGTTCTAGTCTATAATATTAGAGAAGTATAACTGTTCAAAGGCATGGTTTTGTGAAGAACACATGGAAATAGTTTTTGCTTTGCAGATATTTTGATAAATCTTCTAGTAGGGCTCGATAGAGAAGTTTTTCTATTGGAGAAAGAAATATGGGTATGAATATTAGAATAGTTAAATAGCAGTATAGATGATAATGTATAATTATTAGCAAGTTAATCTGCTAGATTATTAAAGATATTATTAGTATGGGCTTGAACTTTGTAGAAGGTTAAACTAATATTATAGGCTTTAAGAGAGTTAAGGATTGTGTGCCAAATAGGCTATGAGTTAAATTTGAAATATTTAGGAGAGAATTGTAAAGTCTAGAGAAGTTTGTTATATTTGGAGATTACAGATTAAGAGTCAGTAAAGATGTCAACAGAGGAGTTGTGTAAGATAGTAGAAATAGCAGAGAGGATAGCAAGAAGCTCAGCTTTGTATGATGAAAGCCAGTTGGTAATTTAAGCTGAGAAATTGTAGATAACAGTATTGTTACAGATTTGGGCCCAACTAATACCTATAGTATATTGCTTGCACCAAGTTTTTTAACAGAACTATCAGTAAAGAAAGTAAATTGCTTGTAAGGTTTGTTAGCTAGGGCAATTTGAAAAAGGTTGCTAGATGCAGTATTATTATAAAAAAGCAAAGATGTAAGGGAATCAGTAATTTTAATAGAGAGTAATAATAGAATATCAAGTAGGCTTTTGATAGTTGTAGAATGTATAAGATCAATATAATTAGTATTGAGTTTAAGTTTATTATTAGATTTTCTTTCAAAAAATTAGGTAGAGAGGATAGAGGAGATTTCAAGAGTGCAATAATTAGAGATATAGTTGGAGTTGAGACTATAGCCTGGACAAGGCTTACAGGAGATAGGAAGAAGTGGGTAATAGTTTAAGTGAGAAGTATTGATATCATGTTGCCAGTGTGTAATAGAAATTGTATTAGATTGGCAAAAGGTTTTGCGAACTTGTCCAATAATGATACTGTTATTGTATAAAGTAAGTAACCAGAGTTTAAAAGATTTGTTTATAGGATTGGTTTGGTAAATAAAAAGATTATGTTCTGTTGGTCAGAAGAAGGAAATAATTGTATGAAAAGAACTATGAGACAGAATAGTGTTTTCTAGATAGTTAAACCAACTAGGCTTTTTTCTCTTGGGGATATAAAGTAATCTAGAAGATAAGTAAGACCAGTTAAGTAATACATTATTGTTAGCAAAACATAATTGTTCAAGAAAAAAAATCTTTTTGTCCAGAGTTGTTGCTTAAAAGTGTGATAATTGGGATGTTAAGTAAGGATATTTTCAAGAGGAAGGCTACTACCAAATATGGTTTGTGGCCGAGCAAGGTTGTAATTAGAAGTAATAGAAATATTAAGAGAGTTAAAAAGTTGTGTAATTTTAAAAGTAGTAGTATGTTTGTTGGGACCGTCAATTAAATGATTGGGATATTGAAGAATATTAGTAACAGACTATAAATTATTTTGAAGTTGTTGAAGTCTAATATGGGTTGTTAGGCCAAGAGTTAAAGTATGTTAATACAGTTTAGAAAGTTGCTAATATGATGTTGAAGTTGTATATCCTATAGGCTATAAATGTTATAAAGATTATAGTTGAGCATAGTACTATTAGGAGTTAATTAGGAAAGATGAGACTTATGTTTAGCAATAGTTAAGTATTTGCCAAGCATTTTGTTGCAGGTAGAGAGGGAGATAACAATATTCTGAATATGATATTCAGTAGTTGAAATAATAACAGTATTGATGATATATGAGATTTGTTTGTCAGTGATAGTTTTGGTATTAGCAATGTTAGCTAACTAAAGAGCTTCATCTTGAATAAGCTTAATTTGTTATGTTTGCTTATTATTAAGAGTGAACTAGCAACCCAGAAATTTGAAAAGTTGATGAATTGGAATAGATAAAAGATTGAAGTTCAAAAATGAGATAGATACAGATAGGTGTTTAGAAATAAGTATAGATTTAGAAAAGTTAACTTGTATATTGGCTATATTATAAAAAGAAGTTGCAATGTTGATGATCTTATTTAGTTCTTCTTTGGATTGGGTAATCCAAATTGTACCATCCATGTAGCCTAGAACTGATAGAGAAGTATGATGGTGGTTGAAGGATAGGAAGGTAAGGCAAGATTGCCAGAAGGTAGAAAGAATATAGCCTAAGAAGTTTAAAAAAATATAGAAAATAAGGGGTCATAGTAGATTATCTAAAAGAGAGGAATAATAGTTTCACCTTTGTCAATACCATTTTTAACTAAGTAAAAATTGGTAAGACCAAGGTTGGTGATGACACAATTAGTATAGTTAGAGAAGATATTGAAGAAAATATTAATAAACTATTGGGGTATTTAAAGCCTATATAAAGATTTTTGAAAGAGTTCAAAGTTAATAGAGTTGTAAACTTTACTCATATCTTGTGAGAGAAGCCAGAGTTGATTGGATTGGCAGTTAAAATCTTCAATAATATTGTTGAGAATGTGTATAGGGATAGATGTAGAATTTCTAGGAAGAGTAACGTAGTTTAATGGAAAGAGAATATTATATTTAGATAAAATATTGTTGAGACAGTTTGTAAGAAGTTTGGTACTTATAGTGATCTGTTTTTTTTTTATGACACCTAACTTCATATAATAAAACAAAGACTTTAAATATGACTTAACTTTAATTGTTACGAATTCCATTACAGATTTTTATGTTAAAATATATAAAAAGTTTATGCAAGTTACCATGACCATACATAGCCCAAAATCAGTTTCGCATTTAAATCAATATTATCGACTCTATTTATAAAATTTCAAAATTTAATCCTTTAATGCTTTTCATGAGGAAAAAAAAATTGAAAACAAACATTTGAACACAAAACAAAACAAAAAAAAAGTTGCTATTATTTTATCTAATACAAAAAGTATAAACAATTAGAAATTATTTGCCATTCCAATCTTTTTTTATTATGAAATTTGACCCTTACACCGCTTTTCACGTTAAAAAAAAAAAAAAGATACAGAATCTTTGTATTACCGGCTATAGATGCTTGACGAAACTATTCTATCTGACAAAACCATAAGTCATAGTTTCGTCACTGATGAAATGACGAGTTTTGTCAGATCATGTGAGTTTCATCAGGCATCAGTATAGTAAGTTAGTGATGATCGACATAATATGTTAGATAACGTATTGTAATACGTATAAAGTCTAATTAGACTATGTAATAAGTGAGCTTATTGTATCGATGATGCAATAGCACATGACAAATATATAAATAAAGGTTCGATCTTTAATACGTATCGAACAGACATTAAATTTTACTTAAAAATAACCAGTTACAAACAGACTGTGCTGTGCCATTTGAATAGTGTTGGCGAAGGGGAAGTTTGTAAGGTGTAGGCTGGCGGAATTACTTGTTGACGAAGGTATAACAAATCAAAAGCGAGTGCATAAAACTAATATACAAACCGTCGGGCAGATTGAGTGTAAAGCATAACACATTCATTAACTCCACGACACATAACAACGGCAATTATAATCGTGCCAAAATTATAAAGCGCCTTCCGCTTCGCTCAAATACGCATTACAGCATTAGCTTTATAAACAAACATTTATCATAATTATGGATATATTTACGAATATTGCAAATTCTGCTGCTGCAAATTTTACAAGTTCTACTATAATTTACGGGATAAAAACTTTAGCTGAAGAAACAATTCAAATTTATGTAAATGCTGAATGTAATAAAGAAACTAGTCTAATAATGAAGAATCGAGTAGAAAATGCAAAAAAAATCATTGAAGAATTTATTAGACATGATAATGAAAATTTTAATCGAAGAAAATTTATTGCAGTACTTGAAGTCTTGAAAGTGTTTTGACAAAAAATCAAAGGAATTTTCTGATAAAGTATCAAAACTTAGTGGTTATAAAAAATTTACTGACGAAAAGAAGTTAAAAATAAATTTGAGCAACTAACAGAAGACTATGAAACGTGTATTAAAGAACTATTACTACATTCTGCTCACTATATTCAAACAATGACGCTAAAAAAGAAGAATCTCGGAAAGTCGATAAAGAAACTGAAAAAGTACCGGTATGTTAAAATTATTTAAAAACTCAGAAATACAATGTCAATTTATGTTGTTTTTGTCTTAAAAAATATAGATTCCCCATGTACTGTACATTATTATCTATTTTAGACCCGTAAAGATTTTTGATGCGTTGTTGATTCAAAAAATTGCTAAACAATCAGGCGATATCCATGTGAAAAAGATTGGACCGAATGAATTAACTGATCCTTTTGTTCCACCAAAAAAAAATATTCATAAAAATTTTATTAAAAAGTTTTACAGAACAATCGAAGTAGAATGTAAAAATTTTCAAGATTCTGAAGATTTCCGACGTCATTTAGCAATACTTGAAAAATTAGATCACCCATATATTCGCCGTTTCTATGGTCTTTCATATGCTGATATTAGAGAAGTTATGGTTTTTGAATGGTCTGAATACGGATCTTTAAAAGATCTTTATAATGCTTATAACATTCCTTGGACAAGAAAGATACAAATTATAAGAGATATTTGTCACATAAAGGACCTGGGTAGAACTCGCAAAACTCATTGAAGTTCCTCATATTTTGCTAAGTGCAAAGCTGAAAAGGTTGCATGGACGTAATTGGTGAATTTAAGTGCCTTGATGGCAATTAACGCATTAGAGTTGAGAATGGAACGTGAAGATTACTTATTAACGTTGGTAAAAGACATTGTGGAAACGGTAGTTAAAAAGGTTGTACAGAACCTGAGTATGTTTCAAAGGAAACAACGAAGGCGAATGTCGCGTTTGTGTTATGTGTGTCGACGAAAAGGGCACTTGGCTCGTTTATGTCTGTCTATGAAAGATCAAGTCTGTGAACGACGTTTGAATAATAAATGAATGGAAGTGCGTCGTATACATATTAATGAAAATGAAAACATTGAATGTCGAAAACGTAATACGAAAGTTTCAAATCGAATGAAGGAGAAGGTTGACAATAATAATGAAGCGGTGAAAAAGGTGAAAATAAATGGAGAATTTGCAAAAGCATCGATTAGGCTCAGTTTGCCTTTGAATTTAATGAGCATGAGATATGTGAGAAGCAAAGGACTTACTTGGAAACGTTTTAATGAAGATGATGAAGTTGTTGGATGTGTTCCCGGCGTTGAAATCGATGTTGATGGCGTTATAGTAGTTGAAGAATTTTATGTGATGCATGAATTGACTTCTGACGTCATTCTTGGAATGCCGTGAGTTGCGAAACAAGGTGTAGTTTTGGATGGAGAAATGGAAATGTAGTTGTACTATTCGATCCGGTTATGGTGAAACGCGTTTGTGATTTCGGAAGAACCAATTATTGATGAAAACGTTGTAGGTAAAGGTAGTATGATGAAGAGTAAAGATCGAAGAGAGAACGAATTTGTGGATGTTAGGCGTGTTAAAGATGAATTTATGGAAAATGACGACAATAAGAAGAAAAATAGAATCGTTAGTAGGTTGAATAAAAGGAAGTCAATACAAGTGAAAGACACGAATTCTGAGAACCTGTCTGTGAAATCTAATGATGAAAGAGATAAATCACATGAACCGAAAGCTATAGGAATTGATGTCGAAAAGGATGAACGTAAAGTGTTCATTAATTATCAAAAATCAGTAAAGGAAAACCCTATTCGAACACATAGTGTTAGTTGTGGAAAAGTTGATAAATGTTATCAAAATGGAGGTTGTGATAAAACGAATGGATGTTAGGGTGCTATAATGCCAAAAATAGTAAAAAAAAAAATCGTGTTAGTGTATGTATGTGGTATTTAATGGGACTTTGCGTGAACATTATTTTGCTGGGTTATTATGTTGCGCTAGCGAATTGGTTGGGATTGGAACTAGGGATGGTAAATGATTTAAAACATGATTATGAAAAACATGATTGTTAAAACATTGACATAATCATTGTTATCGTAAAATTATGATGCAATTCAATGATTATAAAATTAATTTATTTGGCGTTGATAAAAAAGATTAAATTAAATTTTGAATTAGCAGTCTTTCATTTTAAATGCAATGCGTTTTTAGGATATTTTTAATAAATGGTAGTTTAATAGAAAAAAATTTTTTTCCGTAAGAATGTCTCTCGTAACAATATTATGGAACTTTTTCCGGTACAGGAATTAACCAACCAGAACCAATTATTTTAGTTTCAAATTTAACTGCCAATGTTTTAAAATGGTAATTAAAAAACAAAAAATCATTTTTAAATTGTTTTTTTACCCACCCTAATTGGAACCTCGAGGACGAAGGTTCCGGGAGGTCTAGCTCCTGTCGTGGTCGAATTTGGTACCCGGGAATTCGTAGAGCAAGGGTCGGGTACCGTGAGTGGGATTTGCATGAATGGCGTGATTCGGGTTTGATAAAATTACGTAATTAGAAGTTAAAATAGCCATGAAGAATGTGGTAATCAATAGCGATTAGTAATAATCAGTGACGCAACATGTGTCAAATGGGGAGATACCAAACTTTGAGAGCTTCGTTCTTGACACTTAGTGAATACACTGTTATCTGTGTGAATACATTATCGGTTGGGGTGTTCCACGCTAAATGATTTACAATAGTGCAGCACTATATGATTGGCCTACTATATAAGATTTTTAAAATTATGTCGATCAATTCATTACCCATAGCGATAGCATAGCGGGCTTTATTATGATTGGTTGATTTTGAAGATCATCTCGTCATATTAAAGTCTTATTAAAGTAACGATTTGCTGTCACAAGAATGGATCGGGGGCCACGAATACGAATCGGGTGAAGGTAAGACAAAAAAAAATTCGAAAGTTCAACCTTTACTTTATATACTATCAAAGTAATTTGGTAAACCGCGAGGTAATTTGGAAGTTAGATGAGAGGTATGTTTGGGCGTTTCATTTTGGCAAATAGACATAAATATAAAATTTGCAATCTATTAAATTTGATAAATAACAATATTTTCAAAAGGTTTACATCATTAATATATTTTATTCATAATTTATTATCCTAAAGACAGTTACGTACTGCCAGTAGAATAAAATAATAATACGAAGCAACGAAACATGAGCTTGTGAACTTTGTAAGAGATTAAAACGTAGTGCCACGTCCAAGGTTATAGTCAGACCTCTAAATGCACATGCATGCTATAGGGATCAAACTTTTAAAAACTGTGTTTAGAGGACAATAAGAAAAAAAAAAACGTATTTCTGGAGGTCAGGAATATATTTGGGCTAGAATTGAGAGTACGTTTAGAGAGGTTGTGTATTTAGCTCTTAGAGAAGTCTAGTTATATTTAGAATTAAGATTAAAATTTGTTGGTATTAGTTGATATTATATATAATTAAAGTCTTTTTTATTGCTTTCTACAGTAAGATTTATGTTTTTTTTTTATTTATTTTTGAGGGTGTTTGAATCTTTTTTTTTTTTCATAAGATAGTATTTTTTTTTAATAAACTTTGGATTATAGATTCTGTTTGTACCGAGATAATTGAGTTTTGAGTTGCTGAAATTTTACAGTAATGCATTTATTTATGCTAATTTAAATTTTAGCTATTAATTATTTTTCATAGA